ATTAAAAAAAAAATAACTTTTTCTGCTGGCATTACATTTACCTTGACAAACTTGTGCAATCAGTTCAGTTCAACATACTGATTGCTTGCTGATTTACTTGCAGCAGAAGGTAATACTGTCGTGGATTGGCGTTTAACTTACGCGTAGTGGGTATTTTTAGGTTCTTTGCGCGGTTTATGGACCTCAAGAAGCAAGGCAACGTGGCCGTGTACTCGAGGATCGTTGCATAATCAATTGCCAGTACAGTATGGCAACATTCTCAACCAATGAACGCAAGGTTTGTGAGCGCTGCTTTCTATAATCTGGACTTTCATTCTTTTTGTGCTGTGTAACAGCTGTACAAAACGCATATTGTCACCGGGAATCACGGCGTTGATGAGCGGAATCACAACTTCTGCAGTGACGGTCTGTACAAACCAAGAGGAAAATTAAGAACGGCTGAATTCCTTAAGTTTTAAGGGTGGAAGGATGGAATTTGGTAAAGTGTTTTGGAAATTTTTGCAAAATTTTGAAAAAAGTAAACTACGGATGTTTGTTTGGTGCTGTAGGCCAGCCGATGAAAGGGACACAGTCGAATATTGTCAGTTGTGGAAAAGCAGTGAGCGCTAATTCAGATACCCAGATAAGCGAGCCTGTGTGTGCATTAGCTGTTGTCCTGGCTGTTTTTCATCCCTAAACTGTAAACACAGACGGCAGAGTCGGTGCGGAATGGGGTGGGAATCATCAGTACAGTGCCCCACTTCGCTATGTTTTGAACGAATATGTGACTTTCCGATGGTATGAAGGAAGAAAGAAAGGATGTGGAGGTGACTGTGCGTAAAATAACTGTTAAGAGATATAAATAAAAGTGAACCTGTCCGAGTCTCCTGGATCCCGAGTTATAAACTTTTAATCAGTATCCATTATGATGTTTGTGCGTCACCTCTTCACAGGTAGTCTGAATGAACGTTAACTTTCTCATGGGTACCACTCAGCGACACGTGAAGCGTGCTTGTTGCCAACAAGCCGAACAGCATGCCATGCCCATCGAATTTTTGTTTTCTCGCATAATCGTTGTTTGTTTGTTTGAGAAATTGTTTGATGATGAATCTTGGCCTAACGTTGGGTATCGTTCTGTTAGCCATTGCACCGCTTGAGCCGAACAAATCAGAGCTTTGCAAAATTTTTGCGAATTTTAGTTTTGGCGACTTCGATTTTTGCTTATATACCAACTCTTTCCCACTGCTCTTGGGAGCCATTTTTTACGCAGAAGTTCAGTGAACTTAAAATGCCCGAATTCTCTGATGCTGTCGAAAGTGTCTGGGTTTCCCCATGCCACAAAAAAGTGCTTCAGGAGCGACCACGTGGAGATCGACGTTCGCTGGAGTTCGCGCGACTCATGGAGAAAGCTTTCGAGGCAGCAGTGCTTACGCAAAATTATCCGCGCTCACAAATTGATATTTTCTGTGAACTCTTACAGGTTTCTTTTGATTGAGAGAGAAAAAAGAACAAAGAAATGCATCCGTAGCTGTTTCAGGATGAAAGGCTGATAGGCTCCTGCTAGTAGCACTGAAGTGAAAAATAAAAGGTTGTTAGGCAAACAGTAAGAAAATATGCTTACATGCCTTTTCTGGGGCCTATAATTCAGCTGCTGGGCCTGTAATGCATCTACTGCATCGTTATCATCGCTTGATTTCTTATGAATTTCATCTAGAAGTACTACAGAATATGGATGTTTGACGATACTTGTTTTTGATTGATATAATTTTTTGGAAAAAAAAGTTTTTTTTTTCGTGAGAAATTTAATATTTAGAGCACTAGTGTTAACTGTAATTCATAGTGTTTCTTAAACAGGAAAGCTAGCTAGCTTTCTGGGTGGCTGATGCTGTACGTTTGCTAACAGGCCTACTGGCGATCTAAACGTTATTTTTCCTCCTGAAGAGGTTTTTAAGAACAAGGCAGGTGCTGTGTTTGCGGAATGTGATTTTTTTTCTTTTCGTAGTGCTGGATAATAATGGTGTTAATGAAAATAATTGCAACAAAAAATAATAATAGTAATAACAACGACAATAGTAATAGCAACAGTGATAATAATAACAGTGATAGTAATAAATGATAGCAGTAACAGTTATAATAATTACAACGGTAATAATAATAATAGTTGTAGCAGATGTAGTAAAAATAAATTCACTTTTTTTTTAAATTAATTTTTCTCCATCATTTCTGGCACTGATTCACATACATTTCCCGTAAGCTTTTGCAGGCAGACGGCAGTCATTTGGCAGCATGCGTGAATGCCGGTACGCTTGCATTGGCCGATGCAGGAGTCCCACTGCGTGGTTTGGTAGCAGCAGCATCATGTGCTTGCGCACCCGGTGGAATACCGTGTGTGGATGTGAGTTCACGCGAGGAGACCAATATCATACCGCGCATAACAATCGCAACAGTCTCAGGACAAGACGAGATTGTGCTGGCCGAACTACAGAACCGGTTACACAAGGATCACCTGCTGGTGGTACTGGATGCAGCGAAAAAAGCGACAGCCCATGTGCATGCCTGCCTGGAAGCGGCTGTTTTCACGCATATCTCCACTGCAATTGGCATATCCTCTGTGATCAACGATGCTGATGTTGTCCCCTTGTAGCAGCGATCCATCGCTCAGATTAATTTATATTTTGGCCAGTTATTTCCACATCGTTGCGCTTCTTCTCGCTACCGATGCAGCTGGCTTCTTTTCGTTGATATTTTGACCGAAGCTGCATCGCCATGAAATGGTCACCGTGCCGCAGGCTCTCGTTTCCTTGTTTTTTTCCTCTTTTTGTTGAGAATGCAGAATGTGCTGCATCGTTTCACTGTTCCTTCGTATGCTTACTTTGGCGCACTTCCTAATCGGCAGCATCCTCAAGATGGACCTGGAATCACTTGTGTAGTTGATTTTTTCTGTGGTATTTGAATTCATATA